GTGTCTCTAAAGGGGCCATGTCATCTGCTCAGGTGTCGTGGAGAGAGAGCATCCTCATGGAAGTCCACTCCAGACTAACTAGGCAAGATACAAGTTGTGTGAGTGTGTGTGGACTGTATGTAGAATGTAGTGTAGGCACCTCTCTGGGCATGTCTCTGTAGTGTAAGGCGTAGAGCTAGGAAGGCGTGTAAGGCATAGAGCTAGATGCCTTCAGAGGACTCCAGTGAGCTGGCAACTTATGGCCCAACGGCTTATCAGTTCAGTGTGGGAGGAGCTTTGCACGCCAACCCATGTTTCCCATTGAGCTTGCTTAGCCGGTGAGTGTGTCTGTTGGTGTGAAGGGTGTTCTTCCCCCAGGCTTGAGGATGGGGAAAGCGCCTTCCTGTTTCCAATGTGAAAACTCATGTGGGAGCAGAAATTATCCCATTGTCCTGTGAAGGGTGGTGAGAGGGACTGGGATGAGGAGCCTGTCACCTCTTGGTCACTGATTCCAGTTCAACCTAGGTTTGTATGTGTGTCTGCTCAGTGGACCACCTGTGATGTATTGGTGGGTCTTGCCCCACTTCCCTGTAGACAAGGGTCCACTTCACACAACTGACCATTGTCGTGGATGTTAACTAGCCCTTTGTTGGCTGTGTCAGCAATGAGGTCAAGCCCTGAATGCGCAGGGGAGACAAAACTCTCCTCTGTTCTCTAGGTTGGGCTCCCACCAGCTCAGGGTTGAGGCCCACAAACAGGAGTCTGTGCTTATAGGGGTATATCTGTACAGCTAGTGGTAGTGAGTCTCAGAGCCCGGGTTGACAGCTGTGTAGACTCTTGGGCTCTGAAGCCTAGGGAGGGACGAGCTCCAGAGGCTGACCTCCAGTTTGAGCCAGTGTCTATACAGCTGTTTTTTGCACTGTAATGCGAGCCTCAGTCTGTAGACTCGGGCTCTGAGGCTCGCTGGGTAGACATACCATAGAAATTAAACAATACGGCAGTGCCAGCTTTGTTTTTTCCTCCCCCATTCTCTATAGCATGTCTGTCTGACTGCCTCAAGTGCACGAGGAACTCATTGTAAAGACACATTTTACAAACTAAGCCAGATACCATGTCACATAAACACTCCCTAGCCAGCAAAGAGTAGAACCCCACCTGTCACTCCCATTAGCAGAGTGGATAAATATAGGTATGCTGTGTTGCTGTAGCCACTTCACCTTGAATGGCCCCTTGAAATGTGTGTTAACTAGTTATGCCAAACAGCTTGTTCCACCTTGTATTTAGCTGTGACACTGAGTGCATTTCCTTGATCCGAAGAGCTCTGTATAAGCTCAAAAGCCTGTCTCTCTCCCCAACAAAAGTAATATTACCTCTCCCACCTTGTCTCTCTGGATTAAATGTATGACCAGGTCCTTCCATTCCTGTTATACGGTATATCGCAATCACCCCAACCAAATCACCTCACCCCAAACCAGAGGTGGGCAAACTACGACCCGCGGGCCCCTCCTGCCCAGCCCCTGAGCTCCAGCCCTGGGAGGCTTGCCCCTGGCCCCTCCCCTGCTGTTCCCTCTCGCCCCGCTGCTGGTACAGCGCTCTGGGTGGCGGGGCTGTGAGCTCCTGGGGCAGCGCAGCTGCAGAGCCCGGCCTGACCCAGTGCTCTGTGCTGCGCGGTGGCGTGGATGGCTCCAGCCGGGTACCTGTCCTGGCGCTCTGGGCAGCGTGGCTCTAGCGCTGCCAGCCACCAGTGCTCCAGGCAGCCCGGTAAGGGGGCAGGGAGTGGGGAGGTTGGATAGAGGGCTGGGGAGTTCAGGGTGGTGGTCAGGGCGCGGGGGTGTGGATAGGGGTCAGGGCGGTCAGGGGGGTAGAACAGGGGGGTTGAATGGGGGCAGGGGTCTGTCAGGAAGGAGGGGGGGTTGGATGGGGTGGCGGGGGCAGGGGTTCTGGGGGTGGTCAGAGGCCTCCCGGGGCAGGACCTCAGGGGCTGGGCAGGAGGGGCCCGCGGGTTGTAGTTTGCCCACCTCTGGTTTGGGGTGAGGGAGCAGGTGGGGTTGAATGGGGGCAGGGGTCTGTCAGGAAGGAGGAGGGGTTGGATGGGGTGGCGGGGGCAGTCAGGGGCAGGGGTTCTGGGGGTGGTCAGGGGACAGGGAGCGGGTGGGGGTGGATGGGGCAGGAGTTCCAGGGGGGGCATCGGGGCAAGAACCAGGGGGGTAGGGGTTGGGGGCCAGGCCACGCCTGGCTGTTGGGGGAGGCACAGCCTCCCCTAACCGGCCCTCCATACAATTTCCAAAAGCCGATGCAGCCCTCAGGCCAAAAACTTTGCCAGCCCCAGCCTCAGCCCCAAACCCTGCTTTGCAAATCCAAGCTCTTGCCAGGAAAGGAGGGCGGGGTTGTATGGACCCCATCCAGCGCTTGGCAGGGAAGGAGTTATCCCTCTTCCTCCGGGCTGGAGGATGGTCCTCTGCACTGGGACTTGTGAGCTGGAATCAAATCCCTGCTCTGATACACTCCCTATGTGACATTTAATCTCTCGGTGCCTAGCTTCCCCAGTAAAATGGGGACAACGATAGCTCAGAGACTCGTAGACTTTAAGGTCAGAAGGGACCATCATGATCATCTAGTCTGACCTGCTGCACATTGCAAGCCCCAGAACCTCACCCACCTACTCCTGTAATAGATCTCTAATAGCTCCTTGCCTCACAGGAGCGGGATGAGGACAAATCCGCTAGAGAGTGTGAGGTGCTACAGGAATGGGGCCATAGAAGCAGACCAATCCCAGAGAGAGCTCACACAGCCCAGCGTGCTCTAGGCAAAGCGGCTGCGGGGGAGTTGCCGTGGAGCCAGGTTGCAATGGACAAGTGGCTTTTCTTTCTCCCCTGTCTCCCTGCTTCTCTTGCTGGTGGGTCAGGTGGGGTAGTGATAGCAGCAATAGCTGCTAGCAGGGAGGCTAAGGGGGCGAATGGTGCAGAAAGGGGCAGAACAAGGGAAGCTTCTTCAGGGGTTCACTCACGCCTGGGCTCCCCCTCGTCCCCCCTACACCTGTCTCAGGCACCTACTGCCCCCATAACCCTTTCCCCCAGTAGCCTCAGGCTCTCTTTCCCCCTCCCTTCACCATCCCCCCCCAAACAATCTCCCCTCCAGACTCTGCTACAACACCCCATCCCAACAGCCCCTGCTCCCTGCTGGCTGCCCCAGGCTTTTCCCCCAAGCCCTCCTTGCTTTTGTGTGTGTCTGGGTATGGGGACTAGGTTCCTGCCGCTGCCACAGCTGCCCTTCTGCTCAGAGCAGGGGCGTGTAGAAGGGAAATCATTGACTTTTCCCCATCGCAGATGGAGCTGCTCAACTCCTGGTAGCTCTTTTACTCCTTGGGTTTGGCTGGGGCCAGTTGTATCTTGCACCTTACCTTTGGCTGATGGTGTGGCCCCTTAAAAGGCCAGGATACTCTTAACACTTTGGTGTTGCACAATATAGCCCCCCTCCATTGGTGTTTAAACTCCATCTACGCATGCAGAATCCTTGCCCGTGGCAAGAGGCCCGTTCCCAGGATACTGGGGTAAAGCGGTCTCCTTCGTGAAGCTGCCGGCATGGTCTGTAGCAGGTGAAGATAGAATGGGGCAGCTGCCTCTCCGGGACAGTCTGGAGGAATTTATTTATTTTAAGATTCATCTGTTTCATTATTGCCCTAGCCACAAACTTGGGTACGTGTCCATATCATATCTCCATGGTGCTGTTCCTCCTTACTCCGGCTCTGATCGAGGGAAGAGCAAAAGTTACAGTTACTGGAGCAGGCTACTGCCTTGTAAAGGCTTTGTAAAACTGTGTCCCGTGTGTGTAGCAGCTGAACATCCCCTGTGGAGAGAGAAATAGGCTTCCTTGGCCCCATAAGCCTTCTGGTGCATCTCAGCTCCACCTCCCTATATGATCCCTGTGACCTTCAGCTTCCCCTGGCTCCAAGGGGCTTTTGAAGATGAGCCGCCACTCAAATGGTTCTTCAGTGTCATGGAGGTCACCCGTAGCAGGAGCCCCACAGGCTCCCCTGCTTAGCCCAGGACCACAGACCTGCCGCTGACTCCTAAGCTGTTGTTCCCTCACCCGGTGAAAGACCTGCAGTGGCTCTGCACGCTTAACTTTGGGGACACCTCTGCCCCATTGTATGCAGGGGTGCCCCTTCCCCATGTGCTGAAGAGCCTGCTGATTGGAAACGGGAAATCTGATCTACCGTTGTCCATACAAATTCTGGTTGGTGGATCTGCTGTCTGGGGGCTGGAGAGCCCTCTGTCCTTTCCCTGGATCAGTTTGCGATGAGGGCTGCTTTCAGAGGTGTCTGCCTTCCAGAAGCTTCAGAGACCAGGAGCCCCGAGGTGGGCCCTTAACTCTGGCTCTTGAACGTGGGGATGTTGTATGTTGTTGCTGGGCTGGACCCATATTGAAGATGGGTTTTTTGAATCTGGGGGGGTCAGAGCTGAGTGCACTTGAGCCCTGAAGGGACCTTATCTGTTTGTCGGGCAGCTCAGCCTTTTGCCCAGTGGCGCTAGCGTCTCTCATGTGGGGATCTTGAGCCTTATCTCTGCTTTACACATGGGCAGAGTGAGACACACACAGAGGGGAAATGACTTGCCCCAAACTCCTCCCTCCCATTTGGCTACATTAACCATTAGACCCAGGTGCCTCCATTGGCCCCTTAATCAAATATTAAAGGACGGGACCGGAGAAAACCCAAGGTGATGGCTTGACCCCCCAAAGCTGCAGAGAATTGGAAATAATAAAAGAAACAAGAGAAATTGGTTTTTTGGGGGTTATAATGGAAACCACATGAGCTCCAGGGTGTGGGAGCAGCAGCTTATGTGGGTGTTGCATATGCAATAGTGTCTATTCCCCACACCCTCCCCCTGCCTAGGGCTTTAAACAAAGCCAGGGAGTGGATGTCTCCTATAGACAGTTTCCTGGGTGTTTCCTGTGTCACGCAGCACTTCACCTGACTGTCCTGTTGTGCCGAGGGCTGAGCTTTTCCTTCCTCTCCACAGACACATAGAGAACTGGAAGAACTTGCAGACGCTGAATGCTGTAGACATGGAGCTGTACACGGGACTCCAGAGGCTGTGAGTATCGTGCATGTGCGAGGGCGAGAGACCTGAAGGGTGGTGTGCGGGAAGCCAGTTCAGGTTGCAGCAGGGAAATATTGCTCCTTTCATCCTACGGCCTCTGACCTATGATGGTGAGAGCGTGGCTGACTGTTCCCAGGCAGATGTAGAACCTTGCCTTTCTCCTTAACTTTTGCAGCTTTCCAGTCCTAGATGGAGCCCTGGGTCAGGCAGACTGTGAACTTCACACAGCTCTGCCAATACGCTTCAATCCTAACCTGGATCACCCCCTGCTAGGCCAGATCTGGGTCCATACGCTGCACTGCTCTCCTAAGATGTGAAGCGCCAGCTATTTCTATCTGTCTGGTTACTTCCATGGCTCCCATCACAGTAGCAGCTGAGTGCTTCGCAGTCACAGCGACTGTGTCCTCAGCATGCCCTTGTGAGGTAGGGACGTATTCGAATCTCCATTTTACAGAGGGGGAGCTGAGGTAGTGATTCGTCAGTCTGCGGTACAGCCAGGAACGGCGCCCAGACCTTTCAGATCCCGTTCCAGTGCCTTAAACTGGAGCCTCTCTCGAGCAGACGCTGAATTATATTGGGCGATGGTTCTGTAATGTGGACAGACGTCCACCAGGAGTTAAGTGGTAACTCTCCAACCTCATTTCAGTGGGAAACCTACAGTATATCGCTCAGCTTCCTGTACTCGGCTCCCCAGCAAGCTGTGCACCGAACCAATCCCCAGCCTACGCAGCCTGGGCTGCTGGTTGAGATTTAGTGTAGGAAAGCTGCAATGGAGTCTGGTATCTTGTCCATAGAGGCGATTAAGAAATCATGGCCCTGGTGCTGATTTAGCTCTGCCAGAGCACAAGAGGAAGAGAATCCTTCTTGGCTCTTCTTATCATGGTGGGAAAAACTCACTTGTCCTCAGGTGCTCAAAGCAAAGGGATTTTCTCCTGAGTTAAATGTGTGTGGTGCTCCCCAAAAGATGTATATGTCCATCACAGATCTCTAGAACAATGAGCCCAAGGAAACTCTGGACCAGAAGTAGCAAGGAGCATGGGGGGGTGCAGTCAGGATTGAGGGACACTGGCAGAGATGTGTTTTGGGAGCTCAGGACTGGAGTAGCAGAGAGTGCGGCTGGCAAAGACCGAAGTGCATTGATAATGCTATGTGGGGAAGCCCAGGGCTGCAGTAGTAGGGCGTGCTGTGGGTCACGATTGCGGTGCATTGGCAGAGCTGCGTAGGAGAGGCTTGCACGGCGGCTGCTCATGCTACACCTGCTCTTGACAGTACTAGGTCTATCAGATTAAATTGAGACAACCAGACTCCTCTCTATTTGTGACCTTACCCAGGTCTTCTGAGGCGAGCGATTAAAGGGTTCAACCCTCCCCACGCTCCCTAACTCCCCGAGCGTCCGCTCCTGAAACTGTCTTGCTCGGCCTGTCACTTTCAGTTTTATGGGCATTGTCTCTTGACCGTCTCCTCGAGTTTAGCAAAGGGTTTTGAGTGCCCATTGATCCTCAGTCTTTACTTCATCACTGTCCTTTTAAATCTCCTTGCAGGACAATCAGGAACTCAGGACTTCGCAGCATCCAGCCGCGAGCCTTTGCCAAGAACCCTCATCTGCGCTACATGTGAGTAACGTTGCCCCCCTGCCCTGCTGTTCCCTTTGGAAAGGTTATCTCCAATGCTGTCACCCCTCGGGGGGAAGCCAGGGGCAAGGGTGAAAGGAGAGATGCAGGAGGGAGAAGGAGCGAGCAGTAATGAAAGGTGAATTAAGGAAGGGAGTAGAAGAGAAGAGTGAAGGGTGTTGGGGGACAAGGGCACAGAGAGGGAGGTGTGGGGAAAGCGAGAGCACTGAACAGTTCTCTCCTGCTGGGAAGCTGACACATTTAGGTGTCTAAGAACTGGGCTGGCTTTGATTGTGGCTGTAACGAGCGCTTGCCTCATTAGCACCCGTGCAGCGGCCAGCGGAAGTTTCCCTTTCTGTGGAGTTCAGGGGACTGCGGGCGGGGTGGTGGTGGCAGCGTGCCCTAGTGCAGAGCCTGAGCCTGCACCGCTCATTAACATTTAACAAATACAGAGGGCTTTGCAGACACAGATCTTGCTGTCGCTTCAGGCACGTGGCTGACAGCTGTGCTCCTAATTATTGACTCGTTAAACGTGCGTTTGAGGTGGGCCCCGGGCACAGATACTTCCTGCTGGAAGTTATTGGAGGATAAGGGAAGATGGTAAGGAAGTGGTGCTCTGGAATTTGGTATAGGAAGGCGGCAAGCCAGTAGGTAGCGTCCAGTTTTCCAGAGGAGTATCTGGGAAGGTGGGACTGTGTCCCATGGAACGTACAAGCACTGGAGGCTGATGGGTGACATCTCTCTCTTCAGAAAAGGCTGGAGTACCAGCATGTGTGCAAAGCACATCAAGGGCCTGAAATAATTTGTCTGAGTGAGTGATATGGGATCAGATCCCTCTGAGCTCCAGCATAAGGACTAGAGGCGGGCTGATTGGTTATTGTGAGAGTTCTGGTGCATTGTGTGTGAGCCCATGTGCCTGCTCTGAATCGTATGCTGTCAGCCATTTCAATGAAAACTGGTCATAACTTAAAAAAAAATCATCTTTCTGATTCTATGGGCATGTGTTACCACCCATATGGGCATGTTACTGGTGAAAAGAGATGGGGTTTACTTGCCACTTGATTCCGTGTGCAGAGCTCACATTAACACAAATGCCTAAAAGCTTCATTGTGAAAGCTAGTTACAGTTGCTAAGTGACAGCAGTGTACTTACCTAACAGGCCATTTGCAAAACCCAAGCACTTAAAATCAAACACATGAATAGTTAAGGACGTCACAGAACTTGAACTGTCCACCTAATAAACACACACTGCTCTTACTGAGCAGAAAGGAATGCATATTTCATCACAATACAACAGTTTTAATTCTGACCCATGGATTTTTTTTTTAATGTATACTCTTGGCTATTTTGGTTGGGAAATCTAAATATTTTCTTTGATGAGATACTGTTGAATGGGGAAATTGCATAATGCATTTAGCACTGGACAGTTGAATTGTTGGGTAAAGTAGCTATGGTTGCTGTTTCTTGGGAGTAATATTGGCTAGAATAGGTAAGGAGCATAACTATTGATTCCTGGTAATGTTGTGTAGGTGAACTTGCATTAGAGGCTGATCAATATGTGCCATTAGTGTGTACATATACAATTATTACTTCTCTTTCAGAAAGAGCTCAGTTTTGTAGTTTGAGATGGTTGGACAGATCACTTTTATTTTGGGTCAGAGTGAAGGCTGCTGTGTGGTGATGAAATGTCTGTTTAATATGTGGGCCATGTAAAATTTAAACATCCTTAGCTTGAGATTCCCTTCCTTGCCTTGAAGTGCTTGGGTCTGCTACTATAGGTACCTACATTGTTCAGTTACTATCCTTAACTTTGTTTGTTTGTTTGTTTAAACTAAGTAGCTGGGCTCCGGTGGTATGTCCTAGGCATGCTTCAACCTTCACGTGGGAGCACGGAGCTAGAGAGGAGGAAATACGTCTGTTCTTCTGACTGTTGTACTCCTGTCCAAAGAAAGCTCAGCCCCTGGTTCTGGTTGTTTGTTCAGACACATCATCTTGCTGTAGGGCCCTCTCCATGCCTGATGGTCACGGTTACCTTCTTCTTATAGTGTCTTGGATCATCTCTGGAATTACCTGTCTGCTCCCTGGAGAGCTTCCCTGGTCACCATGCCAGCCACTCCAATGAGGAGACCTCTCCTAACTCTGGGGCATTTCACAGTGTGAAGAGCGGTTGATTTTGAAGTAAGAAAATGTAGCGTGATGATGGGAGGAGCCCAGACGTTGGGCTCTCTGTCACGCTTTGCTGTTCATCTTGGTGTCTGACCTCACGAAAAGGCTGGAAGTTCTTAGCTCTTAAACTTCCTGGTCCTAGAGGAGAAGTGGCTTTAATGATAACACAAAGAGGTGATTTCTGAGATAGCGGAGTGAGATAGATGGGGCAGGGCAGGGTTCTGAGTCCAACTGGACCAGGATTTGGGCTGCTGCTGGTTGTCTAGATGGTCTGCCCTCCGCTTTACTATCTAAGTTTCCTGTGGCTCCCTTGTCTCGGAGTGTGGCAGGCCATCTCACCTCAGCCATTGGATCTGCCGCATGAACATCTGGTGGCACTCGGGGGACCCCTCCAGAGCGACTGCACGTGAGACTGCGCCAGCATGGCAGGGCAGCTTTCAGGCTCCTAGCCAGCCGCTGCCTCAGAAGGAGTTCAGCCTGCTGGGGACCTGACATTTTCAGAGGCAGCCTCACATTGGAGCTGGGGATAAAAGGATTAGTGGAAATGTCACTCTGCTCGGAGTCTCAGGCTGCTATAGCTGGGTTGAATGGCTGGTGAGATCAAGGAATACTGCCCCAGTCCCCAGCAAGGGGAATGGCCTCCATGAGCCACAGCCAGTTGCATGTCAGGGCCAAGCCCTGCTGGGTGGTGTTGTCACGGTACTTGAGGCTCAGCTAGCCAGGGCTGTGAGAAGTGGAACCCAGAGGTCAGGGGAGGATGCAGCATTGCAGGGGACATCGCCTCTTTGCCCTCCACCACCTCATTTGGGGATCTTGTCGCTGTGTGTTCGTTGGAGGTTTGGATAATTTGCAAAGGGATTCTGAGGCACCGAACACCAAGTGTTTGACTGGCGAATTACTGAGAAGCTGAATGGGGAAGATTGAGGGGCCACAGTGCAGGTGTGTTGGGGCCCAGGACTGGAATCGCAGGGGGTGCTGGAAGCTGGGATTGAGGGGCAGACTTTTATCTTGGGGAAAGCTTGCATAATGATTTAAACTACTTTACTGATTGATGGTGGGGGAGTTTTCCTCTCTGGGGGAAATCCCAACACCATCCACCTCTCTATCTTCTCTCCCCTTCCACCCACCGCTTTGAGAGAGGCTTCCTCCTGTCAGACAAGCTGGGTTTCTCTGCCTTCTCCCAGCTTCTTCTATTTCTGTTTCTTTCTCCCTGCATTTACAAGTCTTCAGACCCCAGCTGTGCAATCAAGATGATCACTTACTCCAGCTCTAATTGTAGGAGCTCTGGTTTGTTGGGGTTTATTTAAGATAATGGCTCTGAATGAGTTTTTCCCTGCACAGAGTAAGAAAGGGAAGGTGAAGCCATTGAGAGGTTTTACAGCGTTCAGCTTCTTGAAGTGTCTGAATACTCTAGTGCCTGCTAACAGGGGACATAGCTGCCCTTGAGTGGTTAGTCGGTCCTGCGCACAGTCCTTGGTATCTGATGTGTCAGGGGGTGGGTGGGAAGGGGCGGAGGGAGCAGTGAGTGACTGATGTAAACAAACCCTGGACTGGAGGTATATGGATCCATAAATAGCCTTAGCCTACTGTGACATACTATACCTTGGGGGAGTGTCTTGTAACCCCCATAGTCCTCATTTTTATATAATTGTGATCTTACATATAAAGCATGCCTTGTAAGGTATCGGGGAAAGGTTATGATCTGCTGAAAGTCATTTCTCTATCCATATATGTATATCATTAATGCATATGAAGTTATGAGAATTGTGGGTTGTCACTAAAACATGTTGTAAATTGGGGAATCAGACCGATATTAGCCCCCCAGAGGCAACAGCAAGGAAAGTAATCAACACCTGGGCGGGATGTCAATCAACCCATCAACAACCATTGTCCAGCAAGGGAGCTACAATGCAATGACTCACCTGCATGGGGCCACACCAGGGGAATTGCTCAACCTTGCCTGGAGACTCCACATGCCTGGACTTGTGCTTCCCAAGCACATGGGTCTGAGGTTATAAACCAGACACAGGGGCCACATGCGGGGTCTTTCTCCTTCACCCACCCATGCTGGAAGCAACAAGAACATTGAGAAGACTTAAGCAGAGGAGATTGGCCCAGATTTCAAGGGGGAAATCTGTATACTATGGACTGCAGTATCCAGTGGGGTGAGAAAAACTGCTTAATTTAGATGTTGCCCAGTCTAATAGAGTTGAGAGTTTAGACCAGTGGTGGGCAACCTGCAGGCTGCATGCGGCCTGTCAGGGTAATCTGCTGGTGGGTCGAAGACAGTGTTTACATTGGTTGTCCGTAGGCATGGCCACCCGCAGCTCCCAGTGGCCGCAGTTCCCGGCCAATGGGAAACACTATAAACACTGTCTCGCAGCCCGCCAGTGGATTACCCTGATGGGCCACAGGTTGCCCACCACGGGTTTAGACTGTGTGGTTATCGTTTCTTTTCTTTTGGTAACTAGCTCTGACTTTTTGCCTATCACTTATCATCACTTAAAATCTATCTTTTGTAGCCAATAAACTTGTTTAACCGTTTATCTTTACCAGTGAGTTTGTATCAAATGTGGGGCAAATCTGCTCAGGTTTTACAAAGGCTGGTGTATCTCCACTTCCCATTGATGAAGTGGTGAACCAATTAATAAATGTGCACTACTCATCTTGAGTAGTGCAAGACGATATATTCCTGAGGTACAGTGCTGGGAGCTGGGGGCAGGATTTGGCTCTGGTGCCTTTCTCTGCGTGATTCATGAGTGGCTCTGGGAACATTCATGCAATCTAGTTGGGTGTGAGGGTCCACATGCTGTTGTGCTGAGTGATCACAGCGCCTG